CACCCTGGAGCGTCAGGGGGGAAGCCAAGGAAGACACAGAGAGCAGCACGGGGGGACAGCTTATCCGTAGACAAGCCGCGGACAAACGCCCGAGATCCCCAAACACGGAACGCAGACGCATCGCCGACCTTCCCAGTCCACAGGAGGGCCGGGGAGGTACGGACCTTCCCCGGCCGGGAAACCCCGGGGTGAAGGTTGATCTGATGCGCCGCGTACCGTACCGCAAACGGCCACAGAAAATGGGGGGCAGCCGCATGCATCAAAGTCTAGCTCAAAGATCGCTACACCAGCTCGAGACAGCTCTCCCCAGCGGGGGATCTCAGAAGCGTCAGGGAACTGCTGACGCCAAGCGTCCGTCAGGCGGCCAAAGCAGCGCTGGGTGGGGTGGGCACCCCCACACTGCTCACCCGCGCGGTCGCCGGTACGAAGGACGTAGGTGCACGGACCAGTAAACCCACCCCTCTGACGCTGCGTGTACCACTCACGGAGCTGCTGGGGCGGGGGGATGTCCCGCGAACTCTGCTGCTGCTGCTGGCGCTGACCACTCCCAGAGCCGCTCCGCTGCGGGGCACCACCCCTACCAGCTCCACCTCCTCCGCCACCACCGCCTCCACCTCCGCCACCACCACCGCCTCCGCTCCCACTGCCTCCGCCGCCACCGCCTCCTCCGCCGCCGCCGCCACCACCGCCACCACTCCCGCCACCACTCCCACCGCCACCCCCACTCCCACCGCCGCCTCCACCGCCACCTCCACCGCCCCCGCCAGCTCCACCCGCGCCCTTGCCCCCCTTGCCCTTGCCAGGGCGGCGTCTCCCGCTAGGGGCAGACGCCGCGCCGACCGACTCAAGACCAAGTAGGTCGGCAGTAGCAGTAGAGGCAACAGAGGGCAGCAGGGGGGAAGGATTACACCGCTCAAAGATGGGGGTGCGCCGGTCTCCATGGGAGGCTCCTACAGCGACTATGCTCTTCTCTGCCGCTAGGAGGGCCTTCTCGAGGAGATCAACAGTGAGAGTGGTGGGACAGACTGAGAGGAAGTGGTCCCTGACTACGCGAAGGGAGTTAGGGAGGCGAGTGACTATGTAATAGAGAGCGATGTACATGGGGGGGGGGGGGGGGGTGGTTCTTGGTGCAGAACTCAGGAGCAAGGGCGGCGCGGTAGCGAGTGTCACTAGAGCGGAGGTGCGTAATGAGGTCAGCGACAGTGGGAAAGGCAGTGAGGTCAGGAAAGAGGTACGGTAGCATAAGACGGCTCAGTGCAGCAGTGGCAGGGGAAGAGTAGCGTGCAACTACAGCGTCGTACAAGGTCTGAGCACTCTTGTACTGACTAAAGTGCACGCGCTCAGTGGTAGGGAGGTGGCGACGCACAGCAAGACGTGCAGCAGCATCGCGGGTGGCCCACTGAGAGCGAACAGTGGGGTCAGCATCAGCAGCAGGGGCAGGCGAGGCGCCAGAGGTGAGGTCAAAGAGTGAAAGACCGTCTGCCCTATCGCATTGTAAGAACAGCTGGAGGTCGTCGACCCAGACCTCAAAGTCGATGGCTCGACCCTCAGCGTCAAACGTGAGGACACTGGGGGTAGCCATGACAGTAGACTAGCAGTGCAAGCAGTGGGGAAGGGCACGCAGTAGTAGTGGGGCAGTGCCGGGCTCACCAGACAGGGCAGGTCGGGCGGCTCGGTAGCAGGGCGGTTCGGCAGCAGGGCGGCTCGGCGGCTGGGCGGCTCGGCGGCCGGGCGGCTCGGCAGTACTGCAGCTCGGCGACCCGGCGGCTCGGCGGCTCCTGGGCGGCTCGGCTGCTCCTGGGCGGCTCGGCTGCTCCTGAGCGGCTCGGCTGCTGTTGGGCGGCTCGGCTGCTGCTGGGCGGCTCGGCTGCTGCTGGGCGGCTCGGCGGCTCCTGGGCGGCTCCTGGGCGGCTCGGCCGCTACTGGGCGGCTCGGCTGCTACTGGGTGGCTCGGCTGCTGCTGGGCTGCTCGGCTGCTGCTGGGCGGCTCGGGTGCTGCTGGGCGGGCTCGGGCTGCGTAGGGGAGGGCGGCTAGGCCGCGAAGGTAGGGCGGCGTGTGGGCCGCAGGTAGGGCGGGGGGTGGGCCGCAGGTAGGGCGGCGGAGAGCGGCAGGTAGGGCGGCGGTAGGGCCGCAGGTAGGGCGGCTGGTGAGCCGCCGGTAGGGTGGCGGGTGGGCCACAGGTAGGGCGGCAGCAGGGCTGCAGGCAGGGCGGCGGTGAGCGGCAGGTAAGGCGGCGGTAGGGCGGCAGGTAGGGCGGCGGTCGGGCCGTAAGTAGGGCGGCGGTAGGGCCGCCCGGCGGAGCAGCGGGGCCGCGGGGAAGAGGCGGCGGGGCCGCTCACCAGGGCGGCGGGGCCGCGAAGAGGAAGCGGCGGGGCCGCGTCGAGGAAGCGGCGGGGCCGCGACGAGGAGGCGGCGGGGCCGTGACGAGGAAGCGGCAGGGCCGCGACGAGGAGGCGGCGGGGCCGCGACTAGGAAACGGCGGGGCCGCGTCTAGAGGGCGGCGGGGCCGCAACTGAAGGACAGCGGGGCCGAGAGAAGGGCGGCGGGGCCGCGAGGGGAAGGGCGACACGGAGATTCGCTAAAAAAAAGAACGCGCGCCTCGGGGCGCGCTTCGGTGGGCCCTAGAGAACAGTCCCTAGGAGGGGACCTGCTCTGATTCCATGTGAGAATAGGAACGTGAATGAATGAACTATGAAATGAAGTGAGTACAAATAGGAAACCCTAGTTGGGTTGTACCCCCTATGGGATACCCCACTATAGCCTACACAACAGCATAAGCTATAATATTCTGACATGTAGGCCATGAGGGACTCACTGTAGTACTGAGCCCTGGCGACATCGGTGTTTTCCACCGGTTTAGGGTAAGAGCCGTCGAAGTAATGGTAGATCTGCGCTGTTTGTAGGAGGAGCTCCAGCTCAAAACTCCATGTATAGAAATCCTTGCCGTCAAACGCGGCAGTAGTCTTAATCTTCGAAACGCTGAGGAAGCGTGTTTGCGCAGAGTTGATAGCCTCATCACTTGGACGGGGGGCAGTTGTTGCTGATTTGTCTGTGTCGAGGGAGAAGGTGTGTGCGGCGGTATCACGGCTTTTCTCAGCCGGTTGTCCAGGTTGTGCTGGTTGGGAAGAGATTCCCGCATCGCCTTTGCGCAGTTCTTGGAGTTCTTTCTCCATAGTTGAAAGTCGCGCGAAAAGTTGCTCGAGGGCGGCAGTGCCGATCGTGGTTGTCGCCTCACTTGTCGCAGCTGGATTGGGTTGTCCTTCAGCCGTCAGATTTGCTTGGCCTCCGGATCCTCCGGCCATGTTGGTCTTGGAGCGTGTGCCGTTCGCCAGATTTTGATTCGGCGAATTTACTGAAGTGAAGTTGCGAAGAATCCCTGAGTAGCTCTCATACCATGTTACAATCCCAAGTGGGACTTAGCAAAGGATCGCTCAGGGTTGATCGCGGGGTAGTTGCAGTGGAAGTTTGAATCTCAGGTCAGAGTGAATGTAAAATGACTGAGTTGATAATAGCATGCATACATCGAGTTTATATAACAGTACAAAGGAATACGAAAGGACCTAGCTAGCCATGTACTCTAAGGGGTACATTCCCTTATTGTAACTGAATTCAGAAACCGTGCGGTGCGGGAAACCCGTTCGAAAACCGTTCCCGCTCTTTTCACTGTAAGTGTTTCTACCTGCATCGGTCTTGATCTGACGGTTAGTGCGTTGCTTCGGCTCTTCTGACTCCTCAGCTTCATACTCGGTAGAGTCGGCTCCTGCAGCGTACATGAATGCCTTCTCATAAAACTTCGCATCGTAACAAGGCAGGCCCCCGATTGTGGTATTCTTTCCTCTTATTTTTTGCTCTGCTTGTTCTCGCATTTATATATATATATATATATATATATATATTCGTGAACTGTTGAACTGGCCTTATGGGCGCTTGCTTGTGCTCAGACTGTGTGGTGATTTTGTGATCCACTCTGAGCTTTGTTTTTTTGCTTCTCTTGACTGCTTTTGTAACCGTTTGCTTAGGGTGCATTCCTGCCTTGACACTTGTGTCTCAATCCCCGTTTTCCCGAGTCGCGTCGAAACATTTTGTCAATCTCGCGTCACAAAAGGTGAATGTATCACGACACTAGGCGACCTGGCGAAATGCACAAATCTGCGCATTTGATTGGGTGAAACGAATGGCTGTACACCGGTTTCTTCAATCGTTTGGCCGGCATTTTGTTTGTGATGCGCGGGATTTTTTTCCCCGCGAATTTCGCTGTGTAGGCGTCCAGATGCATTGACATTTCGAACCGCATGCAACTTTGTATGAATGTTGCGTCGGTTTACAATTCGTCAGCGACGTCAGCGCGTTTCACGCTGACCAATGAAAAATACAGTAGCAGTCGCTGAAATCCGACTCGCAATTGGGACACACTACAGTTTATGCTGTTTTTGGGTGTCACAAAGCGATTGAGACATTTGTGTCAAGGCAGGAATGCGCCCTTAGTGTGCTTGCTTTGATGCCCCTCAGTTTGGGGGTGTGTCAAACTATGTTTGTATTATTGGATACGGTATGCTCTTGTGAGTTGCTTGTTAGGGGGTTAAAAACTTCCCTCGACATTTGCTTGTACCACCCCCCCCCCCCCCCCCCCCCCCCCCTTTGACCTAAACACCATCATTCTCGTTAGTTCCTAAGCCCCTTAGTTATAAGATTCACTCGTAACACAGGGGAAGTGGCAACTTTTTGCACCTTCACTATCGCTTCTCTGCCGGTCGATCCCTCAAACGCTATCGCACCGCTTAGTGCGTGTCGCCAAAGTACGTCCGAATGCGGCTCAACGTGGCTCGGTACGGTCTAGAACAGTCTATTTAAACTTTAATATGGCCCGGTAGGGTTATTTGAAAAACAATAAACGTACTTTCGGTATCCGCCCTTAGTATATTCTCCGCTTCTGCCGTCGCGTAGCGCCGTTCGGATTGGGTTCAGGTGGGCGGGTCCTTTCGTCGTCCACCGCCCCTCGATGGCGGCGAGTCCGTCAGCCGCAGTGGCGGCGGAGGCAATGGGGCGCTCCGCGCCGGCGCCGTCAGCCGCCTTCAATCTTAACGCGCTCGCCGTGCCCGACCCTGCAGCGCTACCGCTGCCAGGTGCGCTGCAGATTGCCTCGCGAGGTGGATCCAACTTAAACGGCATCGCCTGCTCCACCTCGACCGCCCTTGCCGCCGCTAGAAGCGCCGAAACAGCCGGGGAGCCGGCTTCGAGCGCGCGTTTCCCCGGATCTCTGCCCCCCGTGCGGTCCACCGCCGTCCCCTCGCTCCTTCCGCCCGTTTGGCCCGCCGCTGCCGTGCCGCGCGGTCAGCTTGGCGCGCTGCTCGCATCGTCCCTCCCTGCCATGGCCTTCCCCGCCACGACCATGCATGGCGCACCCAACGCCACGCCCAGTAGTGCGAGCTCGCCTCTGCTGCCACACGCGCCCGCTTCCACGGCCGCTCATCGCGCCGTCGCCCCGCCAGCGCACCGGGTCGACCACACCGCGCTCGCACTTCCACCCGCACAACCCTCACCGCCTCTCGCCTCCCCCACTGCCCCACTCGCCTCAGTCACCCGTCAACCGCACACACACTCGCTCGCCGCTGCAGCTACCGCCGGTTGCTCCCCCGCGCCCTCGCACCCGCCGTTGCACGCCCTCGCCACTCCGCCCCCACCGCCTGCTCCCCCTCCGTCCGCCCTCTGCCGCGCTGGCCCAGCGCAGGCGATTCTCAATGCCGTGGGGGTGGCGCGCACGAGCGCGGCGGGCGAAAAGGGTGCCAGGGGGGTGCACGCGGCAAGGGGAGGGGCAGAACCAGTTGAAGGCGCGGAGGAGGGGTGCGAGGGAGATGGGGTGGTGCAGGGTGGAGCAGTGCATGGGAGGGCGATTCCCTCGACAGCGAGGCGAGGAGGCGAGGGTGTGGCAATGGTGGCACACGGGGATGGCCCATGGCACCACGTACAAGCACCGGGAGAAAGCAAGGGCGAAGCAGGAGAAGGAAAGGTTGGAGAAGGGGAGACGCAGGGGCGAGGAGGTGCAGGCAGCAGGCAGCCCAGTGCGCAGGTGCTCTCCCCCAGGGCGCGGCCTCGCCCTGCACTGCACACGTGCGCAGCGGCGCCCCACACGGCCCTGTATGCAGCACTGCCCCGCACCACGGGTGCCACGCCCAGCAGCAGAGGTGGCACAGCAGTGGGGGAGGAGGCGCAGCGGGCAGTTGGTCGTACTGGCGATGCGCTGTGCGTGGCAGCGCCACAGCCCCACGCGCCTGCACCTGCTGCCACTGCTGCCGCACTGGCTGTGCCTGTGCAGTGTGCAACAGCAGGTGTGGTGGTGGATGGCGAGAAACGCCCCAGCGGTTGTGTGGGCGCAGGTGGTGTGGCGCTGCAGTGCACGGGACAGGCGGGTGCGGCAGGCACGAGGGCGAGCGAGCACGTGTGGGTGCAGCAGTGGGGGCGGGCAGAGGGGCATGTGGCGCCCCAGGTGCTGGGGGGAGGCGCACTCGTGAAGGTGGGCAGCGCAGGGGGCTTTGCCACGCGGTACTTCTCGCACCCTCTGCACGGCAGCAGCGCAGTGCAGGGAAGTCTGGCCGCACTGGAGTGCTACCCTGGGGGGGCTGCTGCCGGACATGGGTTGGCGGATCCAGGCGCTGTGTGGAGGGAAGGGGCGGATGGCGGGTGGAGGGTTAGGGTCGATAGGCATGGTGGCAAGCGCAAGGAGAGAGAGGGAGTGGAGGTAGAGGGCGTGGGGTGGGGGGAAAGAGGGGCAGAAGGGGCATGTCATGAGGAAAGGGCGGGGATGGTGGAGAGGTGCAGCGCAGGGAGGGAGATGATGTGTGTTGCAGGTGGTGGCATTGCTCGCATGCAGCATCGCAGCATGGCACACGCTGCTGCTGCTGCTGATCATTCGCAGGAAGGCATGGAGGGTGGGGGTGCTGGTGGCGGGCGTGGTGAGTGTGGTGGCACGCCAGGGTGCGGGACATGTGAGGTGGATCAGGGAGGGCAGGGGCAGGTGAGGGAGCAGCATGAGGTGGTGCGAGGGCAAGGGGAGGTGGCAGCAGCTGAGGAAGCAGAGGAGGCAGCAGAGGAGAGCATTCTGGTACAGCTGTTGAAGAAGCAGCTGCTCTCACTGGCTGAAGCCATTGCCACGCATGATGATGTGAGCCACCCGCACCCCTACCTGCTCTCACCACATGTGCTCTCATCGCCCCTTACCTTCCTTGTTTCCAGCATCTCCCTGCCCCCTCCTTCTAATTCTCTTCCCTCCTCCCGCTACCCATCCGCGCTGCCCTTGCTGCGTGGGTGCAGATGCGGGCGCGCTTCCTGCTGCAGCACCTGTGGCAGGAGGTGGACCCCGTGGGCTCGCCCATGCAGCGCACCGCCTTCTACTTCGTGCGCGCTCTCTCCGCCAGAGCCACCGCCACCGCACACCTGCTGCACACACCCTCCATGCCGCAGGTGGGTGCGTGCTGCAGGTGGGTGCGTGCTGCAGGTGGGTGCGTGCTGCAGGTGGGTGCGTGCTGCAGGTGGGTGCGTGCTGCAGGTGGGTGCGTGCTGCAGGTGGGTGCGTGCTGCAGGTGGGTGCGTGCTGCAGGTGGGTGCGTGCTGCAGGTGGGTGCGTGCTGCAGGTGGGTGCGTGCTGCAGGTGGGTGCGTGCTTCAGGTGGGTGCGTGCTGCAGGTGGGTGCGTGCTGCAGGTGGGTGCGTGCTGCAGGTGGGTGCGTGCTGCAGGTGGGTGCGTGCTGCAGGTGGGTGCGTGCTGCAGGTGGGTGCGTGCTGCAGGTGGGTGCGTGCTGCAGGTGGGTGCGTGCTGCAGGTGGGTGCGTGCTGCAGGTGGGTGCGTGCTGCAGGTGGGTGCGTGCTGCAGGTGGGTGCGTGCTGCAGGTGGGTGCGTGCTGCAGGTGGGTGCGTGCTGCAGGTGGGTGCGTGCTGCAGGTGGGTGCGTGCTGCAGGTGGGTGCGTGCTGCAGGTGGGTGCGTGCTGCAGGTGGGTGCGTGCACGCACAGGGCGTCGTCTCTCACTCGTCCACAAGCAGCTTGGTCTGCCAACCCCCTGGCTGCGTGCACTGCACTGCACACTTTCGCCCTGCTTGCCTGCCCCCACTCTGTGCTGCATGGCATGGCCGCTGCTGAATGCTGCTGCTGGACGCCCAACAATGTCGTGCCATTCCTCCCCGCCTCACCTCGCACGCTGCGCGCCTCACATGTGAGCACTGGGATCCCTCTCGTGCACACATTGTCTCCTGTGCCATGCGTCTCTCTCTTCCCGGACTGTCTTGTCCCTCTTCTCATCGTCCACGCCCCTCCCTGCCGTGTCCCTCTTCTTGTCCCTGTGCATGTTGTGCGGCGTGCAGGAGGTGGATAACGCCCTGGCGTCTGTGCTCGCAGCCGCGCCCCTGCGCCACTTCCTCTCCTGCTCCGCCACCCATGCCCTGCACCTCGCCCTCATGCCCGCCCTCACACACCCCCATGCGCACCCACACGCCTCCACTGCCCACCACGCTGCCCGTGCTGCTGCCGCTGACAGTGTGGGAACGGGAATGGCAGTGAGTGAAGGACAGCGGCGTGTGGAGAGAGAAGGAACAGTGAAGGGGATGACGTTGCAGCAGGAGCAGGAGAGGCAGGGGAGCAGCACGGAGGAGGGCGAGGAGAGACCTGCGGAGCAGCAGGAAGCTGAGAGGTGTTGGGAGGAGGGAAGGGCGAAAACTGTTGGTGAGGATGAGGAAGGTGAGGGAACAGAGAGGGAGGGGAGTATTTTCAGGGATGAAGGCAGTGCGAGGGGCCGTGGAGGAAGCAGCTTGTGTGGCACGGAGAAGCTGGGCGGTGGAGTGGCATGTGTGCGTGACCCAGCATCCCATGCAAATGAGAAGCACACGAGCGTGCACCCGCCGTCGCCACGTGCGTTGTGTGCCCCCCTGGCAGTGCACGTGGTGGACCTGGGCCAGCACCATGCTGCACACTGCCACGCCCTTCTCGCCGCGCTCACTGCATGTGCGCCGCAGCACCGCCCCGTGTCACTGCGCCTCACTATAGTGCACCTGCTCCATGCCCACCCCGCCTCCCCCTGCACACCCCCCTTGCTGCCTTCACACCACGGCAGCAGCGCTGACACGGACTCACCTGCATGTGCGGGCCTTGCTGCTGCTGCACCAGCTGCACCTGCCACGTCCTGTGCGGAACACGTTTACGCGCTTGCCTCCCGCGCTGCCGTACCACCTGCAGCTCACGACACTGAAGGCGTGGCCCCCAGCCTCGCTGGCACCGGCTGTGCTGCAGTGGATGCTGCATGGGGGCCCGTGCCTGGTGGGGCTGCACAGCCCATGCTGCCTGCACGCGCACCACCCAGTAACCCTGATGCTACTGCTCTGCCTGGTGCTGGCGACCAAGGCGCAGACGGTGCTGCAGTGCATGCAAGCAGATTGCCACCTGGCACGCATGGGCTTTGCATGGCAGCAGGTCACGGTGAGGCGGGCAGGTTGGATGACTGCAGCAGTGCACAGGGACAGCACACGGATACTCATTCCCTACAGCCCTCACCACCACTTCAAGGCTCACCTCCCACGCCACGTAGCACTGCCCCTGCTGCTGCCACTGCCCCTGCTGCTGCCACTGCAGCTGCAGCACCACAGTGCTGCGTGCTGCCTGCACCTGCTTATGCTGCTCCTACTCCTGCGCTCCATCCACCTTCCTCTGTGCACCTGCCACACACACCTGCACCCTCCCCCGCACTCTCTCACCCCACTCAGGCTGCATCGCTGCTGGTGCAGCAGGTGCAGGAGGTGGCGCGTGGGTTAGGCATGCATGTGAGCGTGCGTGCAGTGCAGGTGGGCATGCAGGGGGTGACACGCGAGGCGCTGGGCGTGCAGGAGGGGGAGGTGCTGCTGGTGCGAGCCGCCCTGCTGCTGCAGCAGCTGTGCGATGCCTCTGTCATCCGAGCCAACCCCCGCGACTCGCTGCTTCAGGTGCACCCTCTCGCGCCTTCCTCCCCTGCTGTAGTTCCACAGTAGGGGAGGTAGATGCGTGCATAAAGGTGCTTGGGGTGATCCAGTAACATATGGCAGCGACCAGATTCGTTCTTTATGTTTTCTCCCCTGCACAATCCATTCATATCCCGTGTCAATGCTTGGTGGGTGGATGACAGCTGTGGCTGTGCACTCTCCCATTCTGAGATATACATCTTGCTGCATCTGCATATTCGTGTGGCATGTGCATGTTGCATGTGGCATGTGGCGTGTGGTGTGTGGCATTTGGCATGTGACATGTGACGTCTGGCGTGTAGCATGTGGCGTGTGGTGTGTGGCTTGTGGCGTGTGGCTTGTGGCGTGTGGCGTGTGGCCTGTGGCGTGTGGCGTGTGGCCTGTGGCGTGTGGTGTGTGGCGTGTGGCACATGTGCAGGCCATCCACGCACTACGGCCACTACTGGTGACAGTGACGGAGCAGGAGGTGGGGCTCAACTCGCCCTTCTTCCTCAGCCGCTTCCGAGAGGCCCTGGAGCATTACTCAGCATGGTTTGACTGCCTGCACGCGCCCTCCTGCCCGGCGTCACAGGCACAGCGCGGGGTGCTGGAGGCGCAGGTGCTGGGGGCGGGCATCAGCAACATTGTGGCCAGCGAGGGCATCCATCGCCGCATGCGCCCCGAGCACCTGCACGCCTGGCACACGCGTGCCATGCGCCTGGGCTTTGATGTGGTGCCCATCAGTGGGGATGTTCTCAAACCCATGGCAACTGCCATGGACACCAGCAGCGAGGGCCTTGAAGTCCAAATCAGGCAAGGCGCAGCGGTGCTCGTGTGGAAGGGCTGTCCCTTGCTCTCAACGTTTGTCTTAAAGCCAAGTGAGGGAGCAACTGCATCTTCTACCGGTACATGACTACATAGGAAGAAATATTTGTACAGAAAGAACATGCTTTGTTATCTAGTCTTCAAGGCTTAGAGCGTCGGTGCATGCCCCCAGATGTCCACGTAGTAATGCTGATTCTGGGCTGATTTTATCAGGGTAATTACCCTGATTTCAGGGTGATTTCAGACTAGTCACCCGGTGGTCCCTGCAATTTCAGAATTTAGGACTTGTGAACACTGATCCATTCAGACTAATGCTTTAGTGAACTCTGAAATTCTGCATAAAGGCTCAGAGTAGTGTTATTGATTCTGTCAATGCAGAGTATGCCTGAATGTGACAGTATCGGGACGAAGGTTCCTGGAAACTTCGTCTAGATAACCCCCCATGTGCGTAATCATGATTTCCGTTCCACTCATGTGAGGGACCCCTTTTACGCACAGAAGTGACGTAATACGGACAAGTAACCCAACACCACGCTGTACAGCACAGCTGTCAAAAGGGACAACCCAACCAGACAATTATGTTTTGCTGCCACACCCACCGCACAATGCACAGCATGCCTCTTTCATTGGCCAGTTAGGCATCTTGACAGTCAACGCTGGCAGTCAGGCAGTCGTTCTATGTATTCGGCCTTGCATCAAAAGCCGAATTCATTGACGACTCGAGTATGGTAATCAAATTCGTGGTGTCGCAGAGGTTTCTTGATGACCCCGCCATCTCCTACAATCTCTTTCTTCCCCCTGCCCCCAGCAAGGCTCGTGGTAGTGCTGCTGTTATTTTCATTTGGTCCGTTCGTTCTCGCACTCCCTCTCGCTCCACCTCTTTTATATCTTGCCGCCATGGAAGGCCTGCCGGCAGACGATGCTTCTCCTCAGGGTGGCCCAGATGAGCCACCTTTATTGGCGAAACACACGGAGCCTATCCAGGGCTGACGCTATCAGACTATTTAGTCTGACGAATCAGACCTTGCACTAGGTGGAAAATGGATTTCCAGACTAGTCTAATTTTCATCACTGAATGCATCAGACTTAATGTTTTGGGGCCCCCGATTACATGTAATAGGCTTCAGACTTAGTCGTTTCCGGAGTCTGACTGTACAGAGTATCGAATCTGTGGTCCCTGAATTTGACCTTATCGAGAAGAAGTTTCGAGGAAATTTTCTTTTGAGAACCCCCCCTTCGGATTGGTTGCACTACAGCCAGCGCGTACCATGTGCGTAATCATTCCCCCCCTCCCCCCCCCCGCTTTATCGTGATAGAGGGGACGATGGAGCGGAAAGAGCGAAGGCGACGGGAGGGAAGTGAGCGTTGCAAATGGTTGAGAAATGAATCCGCGATGGGAGGGATGAGCGTAGGCGACAGAGGGAGTAACCCTAATGTGCACGGATCGCGATTGAGACTGCACTAGTTGGAGAGAAAAAGCCAGGTCTAAGCAGAACGCCAGGCTATTTTTAGGCTAGGAACTGGTCGATTTCTGTCGACCTGAATTACAATTTCCTGCTTGGTATGCACACCCATAGCCGAAGTCATTGCCAGGGACCCTTGCGATCCTTCCCTGTGTTGCGTGCGACTTCCTCACGGCAAACTGGTTCGAACCCTGGTAACCACCCAGGTTCGAGAGGGAAAGTGTTAACACCCCTAACAGTTGTTGTAATTCAGGCTACGGGTTTTAAATGTCGTTCCGATGCACCCACCACCATTGAGAATCTCGACCCTCACGAGTGAGTGGTGAAGCATAAAGTGAGTCTTCATCACTCACTAGTGAGGGTCAAACTGGTGAGTCAAACCCGTCTTGACTAGTCATAGCACCAGCGTCATTAAAAATTCGCGTTGACAAAGCAAATTCGCGCCGTACGGAGTAACGAGTTTGCCCAATCACAGCGAAATGGCCCTGACACAACAGATTTGAGCTGTCAGACCACAAAGGTCTTGGCCAATCACAGTAAAATGTATCTGACATTGTAGATTCGCCCTTTCACAGAACAGATTCACCATGAAAGTTCAGTTTCGATAATGCACAACGCGTTACTACACGTACCCTGATCTTGACTTCTCGACCCTGAACACTCAGACTGTATAACTTCCCAACACTGAGCAATCAGGGTGCTGCTTTTCTGGAAAATATGCCTTCAGGGTTAGTTTTTTTTTTTTTAGGTGGACATCAGGGTACCTAAATTTCAAACGTCAGCCCTGAGCCTACCCTGCCGGAGAAAGCTTCAAACCCCCCCCGCTCTGGGCTCGATTTTCTTAGAACTAGCGGTGCTCCAGTAACGCCTGAACCTCCAAGGTCTAGCGTTCATGACTCTGCAGCTAGACGAACCTCCACCGTGTCTGACTCTCCCCGTCCCGCCGCCTTCACTCTACCCCCGGCTGTTGCTTCTTGCAATAAGGACCCCCACCGCCCTCGCCTAGTCCCACTCCGAGCACCATGAAAGTGTCCCTTGGTCCTCCGTTGGCTTCTTCCACTCCCTAGCGAGCGCGATCTGGGAAGTGGGCGCAGAGTACCTCGGTCGTCGGAGGCCGCCGTATTCCACCGCCTGACAATCCGGCTGATCAACCACACGATGACGCTTAGATCCCGGAGGAAGGTGATATCCCTGTCCGCGCGGACACGGCTCGCCCGCACTCACCAAGATGCAGCTAAGAGAGGAGATGTACCTTGAGGCAAGTGTTAACTACGAGACAAAGTGGTCGCGCCAGTTTTCGTGGCTGTTGTTTGGGAAAACCAAGGACGGATTTCCCTATGTGAAGTGCAATATACATGTCGTATGGGAAGGAAAACACGATGTATGCTAGGCAAGGTGATAACGGAGACCGTGACTTGCACACGCAGTCGTTTAGGGCGCACGAGCACACGGACGCTCACACGGCGGCGATGGACCGGCAGATGAAGATTGTGCAGGGCATCCGCGAGGGGCAGCAGGTGATTTCTGATTTTATCAACACGGACATCGAGGGGCGGCGCGTGACTCAACTCATGCAGTCGGTTCAATTTCTGTGCCAGTGCAACGCGCCGATCAGCATGTTCCCAAAGTTGATGCGGCATCTTGCAGAGCAAGACACGCCCGACATTCTGCGGCAATCCTACAGGGTCTATCTGACACTGTATGTCATTATTTTGGTGTGGGGCTTTGTTATGTTTGTTGCGTTAAAATGTTAGCTTATCATTTGGTTCACTCATGTGCAGGTATGGCTTCCAGCAGATGGTTCACAACATCAGTACCTACCTCACGCGGATGTGACTACATCCTATCTTCTCCCTTCCTTGAAATGGTCGACAAGATGGTGCGCACTGTGGCTACGCTGCTCGGGGCATCAAGCGTCTAGAGTCAACGCTTCAAATACTTGCAGCGAGTGATTTACAGGATGAACCTTGAAGTCCATGGAATCCACATGGTTCGGTGGCCGTCACGAGGGGACGGGGTTCGCTGGTTATGTAAGGTCCTTCGCGCTTGCATCGTGCTGCTCTGGGAGCACAACCACAAGGCCTACAAGATTGTGACGCACTACAAGTTCCAATTCTGCCTGTTTCCCTCGTCGACATGAACGACCTCAACTGCTGCTTCTAGAGGCATTACGAGAGTTTTTTTACCAGTGTGCGATGGCATGTGATTATGAATCTTTTTTTTTTTTCTACTGGTAATAGTATATCCTGTTCTTAATGTCTGCACGGTGATAGCTGGATGTGACAGAGATTGCAAAGACCATTGAGTCCACCACGAGGGATCTGACACAGCGGTACTTGACGACCGACAAGCCGTTTGGAGGAGAGGGCAAAAGCTGGTTGGTCAACTTTCTCAAGCTCCACAAGGAAGGTGGAGGCAAGCAGGTCCAGGTGCGAGGCGTGGACGGGGAGGGACGCCCAATCAACCACCTCTACACCATGCATGAGAGAAAGCTCAAGGGGCACAAGCAGGGAAGCTATTACGAACAAGAAGTGATTGCACTATGAAAGTTGGAGTACAAGTAGGAAACCCTAACTTTGTGTACCCCCTAAAGGCTAACCCACTATAGCCTACACAATAATAACACATATAGTGTTTGACACACCCCCATAAGCAAAGTGGGGGAGAACAAGGGGTCACAAGACCAGTCAAGAAAGACAAAAAAGCTCAGGGTGGATCACAACGTCACCACACACTCCGAGCACAAGCAAAGGGCTATAAGGCCAGTTCACATGCAGAAGTATATATAAGTAGTACAAACAACAAGGGTGATCTCAACCTAGCAGAGCAAACAGGCAGGAGTATATATAAAGATCACAGTACAGACAAAGCCTACAACAAGTGAGACAAAGTGGGCACTAGCCCCAAGAAAGTACAGAAGCGTTGATGATCACCAGACTGAAGTGCCTTGGTGAAAACATCAGCGGTGTTGGCTTGAGAGGCCACGTAGCGCAGACAAAGCTGACCATGCTGCTGAAGCTCACGAGCAAGGAAGTAACGGAGAGCGATGTGCTTCGTTCTGTGCTCCAGTCTGTGCTCTTGACACAAGGCAATGGCAGCCTTGTTGTCGACATACAGCACCGGAGGAGAACTAGGCCGCTCTCCAAGGTCGGTCAGCAGGTAGGTGAGCCAGCGTAACTCTTGTGCAGCCATGGCTATGGCGTAGATCTCAGCCTCACAACTGGAGCTGATAACCGAAGACGAACGAGTAGAGCGCCACGAAACTGAACCAGAGCCAAGGCTGAAGGTGTAACCCTGTGACGACCGCTAAGTAGCCTGGTCGTCAACCCAAGAAGCGTCTGAGTGCCCAGTGAGAACAACTGAGCTCCCTCCTCCAAGCACGAGCCCCATGCTTGATATACTGCACAAGTAGCGCAATACCCTATTTGCAGCATGCCAGTGCACCTTTCGGTGACGACCAGGAGCCACGAAGCGAGCGAGAAGGCCAAGAGGGTATGCTAGGTCACGACGAGTGCAAGTCATCAAGTACATGAGGCAACCAACTAGCTCTGGGTAAGGACCACTGGACCCTACGGACTCATCCAAAGGCAGAGCTGTGAGCGAGTGACCAATAGCCAGAGGAGTG